AGAACAACTTGCTTAGTACGCATCAACACGGAGTAGGAGATGGTCGATCTTGTCTCACTAAAGTGCTCACATCAATGGAAAGCTGGATGAAATCCCTAGAGAAGGGTTTGTCAGTAAATGCAATTCACATTAACATGAGCAACACCTTTGACAAGGTGCCACACAGGCGGCTCATATATGAAGTGCGTCAAATGGGTGTAACTGACATCCCCAATTAAGTTTATGTCGATTTCCTCGCAGACCGATGTCAGCGTGTGTGCAGTGGTGGCGCTTAATCGGAGTGGGAAACCGTTCACAGCGGGGTCCCGCAGGGAGGCGTCCTGGGTCTTATTCTCTCCTTGATACGTGTGAACGATTGCCTAGATTGCCTGACCTGCAAGAAGGTAGTGTTTGCTGATAATATGAAGATATTGAGTTCTGTTAAAAGGCCGAAAGACGCGCTGAACTTGCAAAACAACTCAGATCTGCGCAACAGTGGTATGATAAATGCCATTTTAAACTCAGTTCCATCAAATGCTAATTCATCCGACAAAGATCTAGCAACAGAAAGAATTTGAGATCTGAATATCAGTATTTCATCGCAGGTCACGAAATCCAGCTCGTAAACGAGGTAATGGATCTAGGTGTGCGGATGACGTCCACTTTCAAATCCTCATCTAGCTGCACAAAAGTAGCAACGAAAGCTATGGATATCCTGGGAGCAATCATGAGATCCTTCCTTAACGGAAAGTCGACGCGGCCAGTACAATTTTGAAAAGATAAGTGTAATTTATATTTTTTAACTCGATTTCTTAATCTTTTGCATGGTTTTCCAATATAAGTCTGGCAAAATTTCCTATTTTTCATCATAAATCATGTAAGCTTCACGTCGTGTTTTGTCGATTTATCGTAAAACGGAAGTAAAGTGCCATTATTTTTAACCCAACATAGAGTCAATCCTATTAAGCTTTACGCGTATATATAGATTGTTTTCCTCGAAAATATTTTGAAAAAATCGTATTTTAGCGATAAGCCCTCCCCACTGACCGTTCCTATTGTCGAGTCATTAAGTAGTAAGAGAACTATACTGTCCGCTACTTTATCCTGCATAGTCTCATTATTCAATACGAATTTTATTAAC